GATAATTATTTTCTTTAATAGTGATGCTTAAGGTTCTTGTCATAATTGTTGTATATTGTTTATTTTATATTGTTTTTCTTGAGTTGAAGTTTTTCTAATTCATTATTCCTCCCATAAAGAATAAACATAGGAGGAACATAAACCTATATATTTTTTCTCTTATTCCCCTTATTCAATCCTCTTTTGTTTTTTGGACTTGAAAGATAATCAGCCAACAATGGCTAAATAACTTATAACTAATAAACTAATTCAGATTCACCTTTCTTGATGGCGAGCATGGGTTAATTGAGATTTTTGTTGAGTTAGTTCCGCCTGATTTTTGCTGAACTGGCTTTGAATTAACTTATTCCTTTCTTTCATTACCAAATCCAAAGTAGTGGCCTGGCTAATTTTGGCTTGGGTGGAAGGAGCAAGGGCAATTCCTAATTTTTTACAATTTTGGAAAGTATCGTTCTTGACTAATTTCAATATTTTTTGATATTCGGCTTGTTGAATAGCGTTGTAATCCGGATCTTTTTCGGCTAACTGTTTTTTCAGTAATTCAATAGTTTTTTTGGCTTTGGTTAATTTTTTTTGTAATTTTTGGTTGTTGGCTAGTGGATTTCTAATTAATTCTTCAATTCTAGTAATTATTTTTTTCAGGGTTAGTTTTTTACTTTCTAAACCAAGTTCCAGAGAATTATTGATTTCCCGGAATATTTCTTTTTTTTGAGTGGTCAACTTCTTTTGTAATCTTTCATAATCACCTAAACAACAAGATTGCTGACAACTTATGGAGCAAGTATGAGTATCTAATTCATTTTTGTAATTGTCTCTTTCATTCTTAATATTATCATAATCAGTGTGGGAAGGACGATTTTTTAACTTAGTTAGTTCACTTTTTCAATCATTAACATTGGCAATATTAAATTCCTGACAAATCCCATTTTCATAATTATCAGCCCGAGTTTTTTCAGTTTGAAGTTGGACTTGGATTCGAGAAAAATCATCAATCAACTGTCTCAACGATTTGCTTGACCCATCAGCATTTTGAGGCATAGTCGGCAGATTTTTTAAGTTTTTTACTTGTAAATGACTACGAACATTCTTAATGTTGCTTTGGGCGTTATTCAGTCAAGTTTTTAAATTAACATTCTTCTTTCCAACTGATAAACTTTTTTTGACAATATTTTCCTCTTTATTACCAGCAGTTTTTAGGTTCTTAATCATTTCATCGTCTTTCTCCTTTTGCTCGTTTAATTTTTTCAATATCTTCATTTTGCTTTTTTAAACTTTGTTTAGTTTTATTATGGGCGACTAATTCATCAATCACTTCTTTTCTTAACCGCTTTAATTGTTCTTCTAATCAAGCTTGGTTTTCTTGGGCGGAATTAAGTTCTTTTTGATAACGTTTTTTCAAATTTTCTAATTCGGCCTGACTTTGTACCAACCCCTTGCTTTTAGTTTTGAGGGACGTTTGGCAATCAGCAAGCGAACTTTCAACTGCTTTTAATTTAATTTGTAATTTAGTAATTTCGCGGGTGGAGTTAGTTAACTTATTCCCAACCTCTTTTAATCGGTTTTGTAACTCTTCTTTCTGCTCTTTGAATCGACTTGATTGGCG